GACATGAATTGTCAAATGGAGCATTGTTAGTGGGTACCAGATTGATTGGACATTCAGTTTCTGAAATTATGGACATATTTGATTCCTTTGATGTACAGTGTCATGTACAGTTCCTTGCATAAATATTCACTCCTCTTGAACTTTTCCACATTTTGTAATGTTTCAAACTGGAATTCATATTAACTTAAACAGTTTTTTTACTATTTGATCAATGCAAAATGCATAGTGCTTTCAAGGTTCAATGTACATTTTGTTGTTCAAATTACATTTTATAAATAAAAAAGTCAACTCTTGAATGTGTAAGTACTCACTTTGTCAGTCAGATTGGATAGAGATCATATGTGAACTTTTCAAGTCTTGCCACAGATTCTCAATTGGATTTATACTGGTCTTTACTGGGCATTTGTAGCTCTGGCTGTATATTTATAGACATTGTCCAACTGGAAGATGAATCACTTCTCAAGTCTTTTGCAGACTATAACAGATTTGCTTTGAGGATTGCTCTTTATTTGGCTCCATCCATCTTCCTAAAAACTCTGACTAGCTTCCCTCATAGCATGATGCTGTCACTGCCATATTTCACAGTGGGGATAGTGTGCTCAGGGTGATGTGCAGAGTTTGTTTTTTGCCACATGTAGTGTTTTGCATTAAAACCCAAAAGTTTAATTTTGGTCTCATCTAACCAGAGCCCCTTCTTCCAGTTATTTGCTGTATCCCTGGCTCATAGCAAACTGCAAATGGGACATCTAATGTTTTCTTTCAACAATGGCTTTCTTCTTGCTACACCTTTATAAAGGCCAGATTTGTGAGGTGCATGACTAATAGTTGTCATGTGGAAAGATTCTCCCACCTGATCGGTAGATCTTTGCAACTCCTCTAAAGTTACCATTATGGGTATGTGGCCAAATGATTAGGACATAAGCTTTCTGACCATGAAACCCAGGTTTCAATCTCAGTATAGTTGATTTGTCAGGAAGGTGTCTTCTTCATATTATTGGTCCGAAGGAGGTGATCCCAGTGAGTGGCATCTTTAGAAATTGCCTGAAAACCATATGATGGGTTGACCCAAGACTTGTGACTGAAATTGGGTAGACAGAACCGTTGGGAGCCATCAATGGTTGTGCTAGCATGAGATCACAAGTCATTGTGACCAAGAGTTTGAGCATGCTGGCCTTGTTCAGATTGTTGATCACACTAGATAACATGCACTCTCCAAGAAACTGCAACTAAGTTCTGCTCAGCATGGTTGCAGTATAAGCCACAGGTGGGCTCTCTGGGTGTTGAACACATGCAATTTGCCTGAACAGGTATCTGCAGCCCTAGTAGACTGGCATCCTCGGATATGAGTGGCTGCACCATTTACAGAGTTAAGATAGGCTTCTTGGTTGCGTCTATGTTTAATTCTCTCTTTGCCTGGCCTGTCAGTTTAAGTGAACAACCTTGTCTTGCTAGATTTATGGTTGTACCATACTATTTCTGTTTTCAAATAGTGCTCCATAAGATGTTTAAAATATAAGGATATTTTTCTAACTTTGCTTTATACTTCTCCATAACTTTATCCCAGACCTGTCTGGTGACATCCTTGGCTTTAATGATGCTGTTTGTTTGGCAATGTTCTCTAACAAACTTCTGAGGCCTTCACAGAACAGGTGGATTTAACTGGAGACTGCAGATTGCAAGGATCATAACTCTTCCTTTACTCAGAAGAAATCATAATAATCAGGTGGACTCTATTTACAAATTATGTGACTTCTGAAAGCAATTGATTGCACTGAATTTCGCTTAGGGATTTCAGGTTAAAGGGGGTGAATGCATATGCACTAAACACTTTTCAGATTCTTATTGATAAATAATTTTGAAAACCATGAGATATGTGTATATACCTGAAATACCTGATGGTAGGCATTACTACCCACCTTAGTGCAATAGCTGACCACAGGTCCTTAATTATAGTAACCAGAGGCATCTAGTTAGAATTATCTAAAGTAAAAGAAAAGTTACACTGGCTCAAATTGAGGAAAGGAGGTACCATACTCATTCCTAACAGTTTAGTTCAATGTTCTTTAGCTTCCATGAGATATGGGACAAAAGAGTTGAGATGTAGTGCCATAATTGTGTTGAATATATTCATGTGCCTTGGGTTGGATCCACTGGTCTGCGTAAAACACATGATTGACCAGTAACCACTACAATTGTACTGTTTCATGATCATTTGTACCTATTTATGAATTGCATGTACACCAAGAATGAGTTATTTCAGCAGGATAATGCATCATGTCATCAGACCTAAATGACCCAGAACTGCTTTGAGGAACATTCAAGACTTCTGATGAATAGTCTGGGCACATTGGCCAACATGAGCCCACTCAAGCATTTATAAGATGTGGTGGAGAGGCCTGTTTGCATACAAGATACTGCCCTTACAAATATCAGGGAATTTCCAACCACTTGTGAAATCAATGCCACAGCTATATATTGCTGCATGTTTCAAGGCTTGAGATGGTCATACAAGATAGTAAGCACTTATATATTGATAAGACAAAGTGGGAAAACTGTTTAGCTACACATTTCACCCCTTATATTTGAAATGATAAACAAATCTGTGAGTGACCAGCCTGTGTTTGTCTACTATAAGTAGGTAAAATGTGTAGTTGAATAGCTTTTCCATTTTGTCTGTCATCACTTTTGTTCATATATAATTCTATAGCCTACTAACACCCATATATATATATATATATATATATATATATATATATATATATATATATATATATATGTGTGTGTGTGTGTGTGTGTAAATATTCTCAGATAGAGTGTATCTGTAGAGGAGACAAAATTATTAAATAGAGATTAGGAAAAACTATTCTTAGCCAATGCATTTCATCCTCTTGACTTAGAGGGCAAAACACATCAGCTAAGAATAGTTTTTCCTCTTGTCTCTTTTCATTTATATACAGAGTGTGATGGATAAATTGTCGCAAAAATGAAAATAACACTGACATCTCATTTTAACAGACATATTTATTAAAATTACCCAAAAATATCTTGGAATACTAAAGAGTAAATTTATTCAATAAAATCGCTATTGGGTTCAATCACAGCCTCCAAACAACTGTGGAATCTCCTGCAACACTTCTGGATGGTCTCCTTATTTAAATTGGCGAATGCTGCCATAATCCTTGCCTTCAGTTCATCTTTAGTGTTACAAGGAGTTTTGTAAGTCTCTCACTCAGCTGCACCCCACCCATAATAATCAATGGTTGCAGAAGTTACATGACAGCCATGACTGGATTCTTCTTCTTGTGTAGCATGGTGCAGAGTCCTGTTGTCAAACATCCTCTTGTCCCAGGCCAACACTACCCCTTCAAAGCACTTGATGTAAGCCTCAATGTTGAGTCTGAGGCATGCAACAACAAATTCAGGAGTTCTTTTCTTATCAGAGTGAGTTTTACAAGCTGCTGTACTTTCGTAATCACCATTAGACTCATCCAACTCTTTCCAATCCTCTGAATTCCTCAGATTGACATCCAAACACTCTGAAATGTTTGTATTCTGGCATGAATGTCAAGGAGTACAGGATGCCATTTCCAAATTTCTGCCAAAGTGAATTGCGTCATAGTGCTCTTTTTCTCACAGACTGTACCTAACTGACCCTACTATATGTGCAAAATTAAAAATATAAAATGGCAACAATTTAACCATTGCAACCTGCATATATGTTCCTTTGTGTGTGTGTATGCATGCATACATATATATCATTTAATGATTATTACTTCAGTTCTTTCTTTAATATCTAATTCTTTCTTAGTTCCTTTCTTATTATTTTGATTATACTAAACTGAAATTAACAAAAAAAAAGAATTGATTATTTTTTTTTTTTTTTTCAAATACTTGGCATGAAGAAAAAATGTTGTTGGCATTTTCTGTTTATCCCAATCACTCAGTCCAACAATTGCTGCCATTTTAATCAATTCACTGTTGTCTTGTCAGTAAGCACTCTATTTTCTCTTTTTACAATTAATTTTTTTCTTTATTTGTAATAAGCTGTCATTTGCAACACCCATGGCACCGTCTATGTCCAAAACCATACCAGGTTTTTCTTCTTTCTCCAATTTCTCTCATTCTTACTTGATTGCCCACTGTAAATATCTGATTACTTGCAAAGTGTCTCCAAGCATTTCACCTTGGCCAGTGAAATCATTGTTTTGTTCAAACCACCACCACTGACACCTACCTTCCTTATAGTTGTCCTCCACCTCCACTTGTGTGTCTGAGAACACCTGTATTTTTAATAATTTCTCTCTCACTCTCTCACTGGACACATCAACTCTGTCAGGTTTGTTAGTACAGTTTTTCTCTCGTTATAAACCAAAGTATTGATTTGGTCCTTTGCATACACTCAGAGGAAGTGAAAAATGAAAGATTTTATCAGACTGTTACACTAAACCTGAGAAATCCTCCTGCAGTTATTTACAAGATTCAGTAAACTTACAGTCATAGTCCTCAATACAAGTAGTTTATCTGCTTTGGCACTATGAGTGGTTCACTGATAGAAATAGGGAAACATCTTTTATTTTTCAATAATAGACCATATTTTCTTTTATCTAGAAATCATTTTTATATAATTTTTTTGAAGATAAAGTAAATATATTACAATCACAAATTTTATCAACAAGAGTGGAAACTTCAAAAACTGATAAAAAGTACAGAGATATTTAATAGAAATTAAAGTTGACACAGATGAATAATGAGGACATTTTTAACATATTTTTGAATGTGATTGTGTTTAAGGATTCTTCCATATCACCCTGTGAAATTTGGAAGTTGAGACACTGTTAATGCTATCCTGACTTGTAAAGGAAGTTATTCTTATAATATTAGACAAGACTGTATATTTTAAAATTTATAGATTTGTTTTTTGAGTGGATATTCAGATACAAGTGGCCAACCATTATGCTTTATTATTCAAACCAGCATGCTCATCTTGATTGTTGTGGCTCATGGCCATATCATGTTGAAATACCAGTTCTCATCTGATCACTAAATTTAAGCAATGTTGTGCATGGTCAGTACCTAGATGAGTGACCACTTAGGATTACCAGGTGCTGTAAGCTTGGATGTGCTGGTGGTGTAATGGATAATGGCTGGCAATTGGAAATTGGAGAGCCGAGTTCAAATTCCAGTCACATTTGTTATATTCACTTAGTTGTAAATGCCCTTGGGAAAGGTATAAATCCATCTCCTCCCATCAGCTATGGGTTAAATAGTAGGACTTGCCGCTAAAAGAAATTATTATTATTATCAAAAAAATTGTTAATGCAATATTCACTCACAAAAAAAAAAAATGGTTCTTACAATCCAAAATAGGTTTTGGCTTTAAATAAGCCACAAAAAACTGATATGAAGAAAAAATCCAATAATACACGTTGCTATTTTTTTTTTTTTATAATTTGAGGTGTAGATTTTTATTATCCCCATGACAATCTTTTTAATGATTGATGACAGTATGCAAAAAGCATTCCTATAACTATAATATTTAAAACTTTTTAAAATATATTTTCATTTTAATGCAACAATATCAATTTCTACTTTGATTTTAATATGAACCTGCATTAAATAGCTTTTTTAATTACTTTTTATTTATTTTTGTTATATATTAATATATAAACTCTAAAATATTAGTAACTTTATAAACTAGAAGAATTTACCTCCAACAATTTTCTCTTGATTGTTCTATTCAGTCTTTTTCATCAAAGATTTAATGCAGTTCTTCATTGAACAGGAATTTTCAATGATGTAAACATATTTTATCTATTTGGTTATTTTAGTAGCTTATACACAAGTATCTTCCATGTAACAAGCTAATAAGTATACTTATTTTTGTAATCCTTAAGTTTTCACACCAGTTGTGATTGATGGATTTCATTAAAGATCAAGTGATTGCAAATCTTCTCAATACTCCAGCACTCTTCACAGCATTCTAGATGATTTTAATAATGCTGTTATTGGAATGATTTCAATTCTGCCTAATTCCTCCAGTCTCATTGCAAGTCTCTTCAAGACTGTTCCAAGTAGGCTTATTATAAAGAGCACAACTGTTATCTTCATTTCTGACAGTTTTTTTTATTCACTTTTCTAACAATGTACAGATATTTTCAAGCTTTTCACTTTGTTTTACTGTGTGGTCTGCTGAAACACCACCACCACCACCCACTATTTTACAACTTTCTTCTCTTTAACAATAAATATAGCTGATATTATCATTATTATTAGTGATAATGTTTTATTATAATTTATTACTAAATATTACCAGCTTACTTTGCAATTTAGTAATATTTTATAATACTTATTACATATATATTTTATATTATTATTATTGGTATTATTCATCATATCAACAACACACTGAATTTAATATTTTAGTTATATTTTGCTTTGAAAACTTTATATAGTGTCATTTTTTTACCATAAAAATTCTGTTAATCATGATAGAAAAAGGAATGAATTCATATTTCATAATCCTTTCAAAGAAACATTTTGGAGTCAGAATTACTTTGAAACTCATAATAACTTAGCAATCCTAAGTAAACATACCAGTTGTTGAAAATAATGCATTGTCCCATGTCTTTATTGTCCAATACTAGAAAAACATTTTTAACCTCCTCCTGTGCTAATATCACTAGTAATTTGTCCTTTAATGTTATGTGTGCTTTTCAATGGAACCTTTCATAGAGATGCTTCATTAATTGCAAAATTGTCACCCTGCTAGTTTTGTAACAATTTCAATTCAGACAGATCCTGGTTTTCCAACCTGTGATTTGTTTGCCTCCAAAAATATATGAAACTTAGTGTCAGAGCCATATTATGCACCCTCACACACAAACAGTTTACTTTACCTCTGTTTTTGATGTTATTTTCACACCAGAGTTCTATTTTGGTATACAAGATTCTTTTTAAAGATGTCATTTGTGCAATATTTCTCAAAAGAGCAATGAAATTTCCTACTTCAAAAAGATATCTATAAAGTTCTATAAAAAAAACAAATGTGCAAACTTAGAATGGTATCAAAATCCTCTGGTGTAAAGAGAAAAAAATTTTCATGTATTTCTGTGTGAGGGTGGGTGGTAGTGTCTTCTGAACTTATTTTAAACTTTGTCCATGCATTTGTAAAGAGTTGTTTCCATTGTTCTCTCGTCTTTTGAGTCTGAAAGTTCATGGTATTTAAAGTAATACACCATGGTCATTATTAAATAGAACTTTATACTACATAACCTTCTGGACATGGCATTTCTTCAATGAATATTTACATTTTCTAAGTTGAAGGATACATTGCACAGCTAAAATAATCAAACTCTCTACAATCATTAGAACTATCAGATCTCACTATTAATACCAGTAATTAATTTCAACTTGTGACTATGTAAATCTTCTGTCTTTACAAAGAAATGAATAATATTTTCATATTGAAAATATCAATTTTTTGCAATGCTGCTGTTTTTAACTGAATCATCAAATTTATTTGAAGACTTATCCCCACATTGGAATGAGGACAAGAATATATCCTTCTTTCAGGTTTATTCATATAAATAACCATAAAAAAGTCCTGTTTTTGGGGGCATTTGCTAGTATATATGGCATTGCATTAAACATTCAGCTAACATAGATTTGCCTTTTCAAGTCTGCCTGCCACTGAGTCTTAGAAATTTTTAATGAGTATAAAGAGAAAAACAGTGGCCATGATCTAAGCCAAGATCAAAGAACTGGCTGCTGCTAAGATTGGAATTGAGCTGTTATACAGAAAAGAAATTTGTGTAAATTCCATGTGGAAAGAATACCCAAAGATAATTTTCTAATTTGTGATCATCCGTCTCTGATATTGAAGTGTGGGTAGTAGATTGTGCATATAGGCAGGAGAGATGCAAGATGAGACTTTCTTAAATAAACAATAAACAAGGTTTGTGTAAGGGGATAATAGAGCATATAATTTGTTAAGTTATAAATCAGTTTTTTTCAGAAAATGTCATGTCAAAAAATTATAACCACTTTTTAATTAGCTTTGTTTCTTATTTGAATTTTTAGAAATCTGGACATCTTGAATAAAGTGCTGTACTTTTTAATAGTAACACAGATTACCAATTTAACTGAATACTGTTTACCTCTCTTTCAGACATAGGTCAGTGGTTTCAGGCTAAGTTCTATCTCCCCCTTATGAAAAAGAACTTATGACTGTGCCTATAGCTTCTAACCATTGATGTGAGAAGTCTTGCATTACATTTCTTGTGGTTTCTTACTTTCCAATCAACTTTAATTTTCAAAAATTTAAATGCAATGTCAATCATTATTTTCTGTTTCCTTCAATCTTATTCTTTTATTCTCTCTTCTTAATAATTTTTTTTTTTTCTGGGGTTCTTTCACTCTCAGCAACCCGTTGCATCATAGTGGCTTAATTGCCTTACCTGGAGTAAAATGATATTTTTTTTAAATTAGAAAAAATTATAACATTCAGGTATTATCAGTGATCATTTTTTTTACTTGAATTTTAAATATAAAAAAGGCAAAAAAAAAACCCAAAAATTTGTCAAAATCCCATAATAAAAATTAAAAAATCTCAGAGGTTATAAGTTTTTTATGCATTAGGCCTTAGACCACAAAGTTTATAGCTCAACAAGATCTAACTTAGATTTTAAAAGTACTTGTGTCAGACTAGATTAAAAATGCTTTTTTGTACAAATTGTTTTTTTTTATTGTCTATGTCTAAAACCAGATTCTGAATTTTAAGCCAAGAATTAAAAATTTACATTTAGTTTTCTCTTCATTGATTTTTGAGTTCAATTAGCATTTATCACCACCCCTACTAACCACACCCTTGACTTTGGTTAATGGACATTTATAAGATACAAATTTTCAACCATGCCCCTAGGATTAACAAAATCAACTACCTGCCACAATGATGGGTAGCCAATTTGTTGAAAGGCTTGCTTCTTATTGTCACACATCAAGTTTATTTTAAGATTGTCAAAAGAGTACTCAGTAAATAACAATATTGTTACATAAAAACTGAATGGAAGTAATTGACCAGGAAGCATCAGCAGTAGTAGTAGTAGTGGTAAATGTTTTTTCTTCATTTCTCTCTTTTGCCTTTTCTTAGTTCAGAGTGTGCACATATACATACATATTCCAAAATAAATTTGTGGACAACATTTGATTTACAAAGTTTTCTTAAATACTTCTGCACTTAAGTCCTTTTCAGATTAGTATAAATAAAAAAAATAAATAAAAGTATTTATATTTCAGTAAAATCAATCACTTTTGTTAATCCAGTATTGGTTATTTCCAGTATAATTTTGTTGGTTACTTTTATCCTTTTTAATATTAATTATCTGATTTGCAACAATTATATACACACACACATGTATGTGTGCATATATATATATATATATATATATATATATATATATATAGTGAGAATGTTTGCTTTTGTCAGGTGATTAGGTCTACAGTAGCAATTTTCAGCAAGTATACCATTAGAGATTGGAAGAATAACAAAAACAGAACATAAATTTTCAAAATAAATCTTAAATCCATGATAAAAATTGTATTTAGATATGTCATAATAAAATTTTTGTTATTAAACATTTAAATACAATCTTAATTTCAATTTTTAAACAATAAAATTTCTACTAAACAAAAATGATGTAGCTTGACAATTTCCTAATTCAGTTATTAGTAGTTTGAAAAGTTGAACAACAACAATATTTTTTTTAATCCTTTCACTTCAAGCAAGGCAATAAAAGCCATTAGGATGCAATGGGGTTACTGAGAGTGAAAGAAACAGAGAAGACAATATATGAACAGGATCCAAGAATAGAGAAGATGATGATTGAATTTGCATTAAAATATTTGAAGATTGTAGTTGACAAGAAACCAGGAAACTGAAAGAGAGTCCCATAAACAAGATGTGTGAGAGAAGAAACAATTAACATAGTACATCTATTTACAGTTACAACTAGCAAGTTCTACAGTGAAACTATAAGACCTAGCTGCCAATCTAGTACTATGTTTAAATTCATGAAACTGAGGTACAAAAGTTCATCAGAACAATTACTGTGAAA